CTCCTCAAGGCCAGGCTCGCGGAAGTGCACGTGGCAGTCCACAAGGGCGGGCAGCTGGACGCATCTCATAGCTGCGCCGTGAATCCTCATCATAGTGTGTGCCTCGTGGTGCTCCCAGCCGGGTTAATTGCAAATGAACCCCACCCCCCTCCCGAACAGCCCACAGCGGCGGCAAAAGGTATTCTCTAATGGTGGTTCCCCGACACGACGCTGCCGCTCGCTCCCCCTCTCTCTTTATCACGTCCACTTCTCTCCCTATCGATATATATATATATTGAAGCCAGACGTTACCGCCTCGAGCGACGCTAGCTACAACCCACCCCGCAAGCACGCCAGATAGAAAGAAGAATGGGGGAGGAAAAGCAATGAAAACACAATATATATATATATATATATACATATATAAGGAAGAACTATGCGTCCGCATCTCACCTCCCTGGTCAAGATAACGGTCATCGTCGAGCTGCTTGCCTTTCTCTCTCGTTACGTTTTGAAAAAAAGTCAAACGCACAACACTTAAATAAAGAACATTTAAAAAAAAAGTAGCTTAACCCCATTTGTGCTCGCAGATATTCAAAGACAACAATCCCAAACTCCTTTCCTTTCTACTACCACCATACACAATCACGAAAACCTTACTCGCCTGTTGGTGGCACTGAAGTTATTCTTCATGCTGCAAAGTCGCGGATGGCACGACTGGAAAATGGCCACGCGTAACCGCTTTCTCTGCTTACATGCTCTGGAACCCATCAATTTCTTGCTTTGCATAAAAACCCCTTCTAAATATATTGTATTCCCAAAGTTACTAAAACAACTAAAGTTGAGTCTACTGTGCTTTGAGCGACCCTACTCAGCAGTGAATTGAGATCCAACCATATAAGCATCTTGTTGTTGTTTGTTTGTTTTAAAATATGTTCTACATCGACAATACTCGCTTCGCTTCCTCCCCTGTACCTTCCCCTTTTCGTGTATCTCTCTTGTTGGCCCACAGCCAGCAGTGTGCGTGTTACTCTGACTGCCTTCAAGAGCGCATGTACACGTTAACCAAACGGGCGTAATGCATGCGTTTGAAAGCGGATAAAATAGAAAAAGTAACCGCTCCAAACCCATATATAAAAATCCGCGGCCCCTCCCACACTCATCCCACTGACACCGACAACCCCAAGGAGGTGTCTTGATTAATTTAAAAAACCAAAGAAAGATAATAATAGTAACTTCTCCATTTTTGTTTTCCATTTCCCATTTTATCTCCCCCCACCACACACACACACCCACACACCCACACCCACACCCACCATCCCCCTTTCCCTTGCTTGCTTCTGGCTTCCTCAGTTTCCGGGTGCTCCATGTCACCATTGCACATCACTAAAGGAGCCGTTGCCGGGTTGAAAAACGTCCTCCAGCTCCTCCTCTGTTTGGAGTTGCGCCAGACGCTTCTTCGCTGGATTTGCCACCTGCGACATCTTCAGAAAGATGACGTCTCCCTGGTTCAGCTCCAACTCCACAACACCGCTCACTTCCTTCGTCAGGTAACGAATCGCCTCCAACGCGGACTGCGTGTGTCTCTCCAGCAGCCCATACGACGCCAATTGTTCGGACACGTGACTCGAGTACAAGCTAAACATGTCCGTGGTGCTGCGGTCGAAGCAGACGTCGTAAAGGAAGCGAAGACCCTTCGTAAGGAGTGTCATACCAGGCGTCTCGTAAATGGTTCCTTCGCGAGTGTGCACCAGCCCAATGCCATTGCGGCCGGCAATCTCATTGGCCATTTGTAGCGCCTGGAGCGGGGTCACCTCTGCACCATTTATATTAGTGCATCGAGCATTGCGGAAGGTGAGGGAACAAAACTCTGGCGTGGTAAGGCATTCATGCCTTGGTCGCACCATCCTTAGCACTGGAGCTAGCCTTCCATCACGTCGCTTATGCGTGATGCCACATACACTGCTGTGTAGCTCAACCGGCGCGCTCACGCCCTCTACTCCGTGCCTGCGCAGGAAGGAAACCTTGTGTGCATCACTGGGGAATTCTTCCAGCAGAGTCGAATCCCGCCATGGGTTGTAAACACCCATTTGGGGAAAAAAGGTATGAACATAGCGCTCAAAGTTCAAATCTTTACTTCCCCGGGAAGAGCTTTGTGCCACGACAGTCATTTGACGTCTTCGTATGGCCTGAAGCAAATATAACCCCATCACATGCAAGATTAGCTTGGACAAATGCCAGTAGTTCGTGTCCTCGCCAACCATAGCCATCACCATATCGAAGCCAAGTTCTGCCATCTCCGACCGTAGATCGACGAGTTCCACTGGTACGCCAATCGCGCGGAACTGTTCCGCAATTTCCTCGCTTTTGGCGGATACACCGCCAAGGCATGCGTGAAAGCATGTGAGTGCAATTTTCTCTTCCTTAAGGCGTATCGCAAGCACTTTACTATCATTCGTGGATGTAATACACAAACCGACCTTGTGGCGATGCAGCATAGTGTAGTTGTGATTTTCCATCTTGTGATAGATGCGCGGGACGTAGTGCCGGAAGGGTTCAATCTCAATCTCATTTGCATTAACGTCAAGGGAGTCACAGAACATTCGCACTACATTCGGCTCAGTCAGGAGAGAGTAATTGTAATCCACCGCAAGCCTCCGAATCCAATAGTCTGGGGTGGCCGTCTCCAGTGTGCATCGTCGAAGCATAAAATCTTGCCGTTTATCGCGTAGCTGAATGACAAGGTCAAATTTTTCCTTTGCAGCAACCGCCGCATCAAAGCTTGGGTTGCTGTCCTCGTGACGCTGCGTTAGGGTGGTGTGTGGAATGCCGTAATCGAGAAACACGCGTGCAGTTTGCCTCGAGGTGAAGACAGGAAATCGCTGTGCGATGCGCTCAAAGTAGGGGCACAGCTCCTCCGTAATGTTATCAACGTCGCAGCTGATAAAGACACCACGCTTCGGGTATCGGAAGTTCTGGCACAGCATTGCTTTTAGAAACACCTCCTTCTTGTCACGTCCGAAGACGCCAATCTCGCCTGTAGAGGCCATCTCCACCCCAAGAATGGGGTCAGCACCCGCAAGGCGATTAAAAGAGAACATGGATGCCTTGCATCCAATGTGCGTCATCTTGGCACGCTTAATCGGCACAAGTTGAGAGTCACCCTGCGAGAGAAAGGCCGACACCATCACAGCGGGAAATGAAATGCCGAGAGTCTTGGAAACAAACGGCACAGAGCGTGAGCTTCGAATGTTTGCCTCAATCACGCGCAGCTGTTTATCCTTCGTAAAAAGAAATTGAACATTCATGGGACCAATGACATCAAGCTCCTCCGCGATGCGTGTAGTAGCCTCGTAGATACGTTTCATGGTTTCCTTGTCAGTGTTCTGCGGCGGCAAAAACATTGTCGCGTCGCCCGAGTGCACACCGGCGTTCTCTACATGCTCGCAAATGGCATAGCAAAGTACTCGGCCATGGTGGGCGACGACGTCCACATCGTACTCCATCGCAGCCTCGTAGTACTTGCTAACAACAACAGGATGTTCCCCAGAGACGAGGGAAGCCTCTGCAAGGTAGCGGTCAATGTCGGCCTCACTCGCAATAACAGCCATCGCGGACCCGCTCAGAACATAACTCGGTCGCACCAAAGTAGGGAACCCAACACGATTGCAAAACTCATGCACCTGCTTTACACTTGTAGAAACAACCCACTCCGGCTGCGGCACACCAAGTTCGTCACACATTTTGGAAAATTTATGACGGTTTTCTGCCTTGTCTACATTGGCAGGGTCAGTCCCAAGAATTGGCAGACCATGCTGCTTCAGACGAAGTGCCATGTTTTGCACAATTTGACCACCAAGTGAGATGATGACGCCTTGGATTCGTTCCTTCAGTAGAATGTCAAGCACCGTCTCCTCCGAGACTTCCTCAAAGTAGAGTCGATCACATTCATCGTAGTCGGTAGAGACAGTCTCAGGGTTGTAGTTGATAAGAATAACCTTCTTTCCTAGACGACGCAGTTCGCGCGCGACAAGAACGCTGCCATAGTCAAACTCCACACTGTTGCCTATCCGGTAAACACCGCAGCCAAGGACCGCATACATACGCTCAGTGAATTCCACATCATCTTTGTGTGCGTTATAGCTGGTGTACAGATAACAGCACTGGGCAGCGGGGATCTCGCCTGCCACCGTATCAATTTGTTTAACCTTTGGGGCAATGTTCAATTCCATGCGTCGATTTCGTACATCGTCTGCTGTGCAACCAATGTATTTTGCAATCTGGAGATCACTAAAGCCATGCGCCTTCATGTTCAGCATGAAATCACGTGGCATGATTCCCAATTTTCCTTTATATAGGCTCGCCATTAAGTTTTGTAGCGCAACAAGACTTTGGAGCTTCTTGAGGAAAAATGGATTGATACGTGTCATCTCATAAATCGCCTCAACTGAAACTCCCTCGTGTAAGGCGCGGCAAATGGCAAAAATTCGGTCCGGTGTAGGAACCTTCATATTATGCATGTAATCCCACCCACCCTTCTTCGTCTCCAGTCTGAGAGGGACGTCAAAGCCAATGTGTGTCGGATCCGTCATACGCAGTGCCTTTTGCAGCGCCTCCTCGAAGGTGCGGCCAATCGCCATTACCTCTCCCACACTCTTCATCATGGATCCAATTTCCTGACTCACCATGTTGAACTTGGCAAGGTCCCAGCGCGGCATCTTGACAACAATGTAATCCAAGCTCGGTTCAAAGCACGCCATCGTCGTCTTGGTCACACCATTTGCAATTTCAAAGAGACCCTTGCCAAGCGCAATCTTTGCTGCAACGTGTGCGAGGGGGTATCCAGTTGCCTTGGACGCCAAGGCAGAGGAACGAGAAAGACGGGCATTGACCTCAATAACAACATAGCGGTGGGAGCTGGGGTCAAGACCGTACTGAATGTTGCACTCCCCCACAATACCGAGGTGACGAATGATTTTAATGGACGCACTTCGCAGCATGTGGTACTCGTCGTTGGTCAGGGTCTGAGAGGGAGCAACAACGACGGAGTCACCGGTATGAATGCCCATTGGATCAAAGTTCTCCATGTTACACACCGTGATACAGTTATCGTAGATGTCACGCACCACCTCATACTCAATTTCCTTCCATCCAGCCACGCTTTCCTCCAGCAGCACCTGCGGGGAAGCTGCGAGTGCCACGTCCACTTTATGACGTAATTCCTCTTCATTGTGTACAATACCGCTGCCCTGTCCACCAAGGCAGTAGGCCGCCCGCACCATTAGCGGAAACCCAATATCCTTTGACGCCTGTGCCGCACTCTCTACAGACGTCACAGCTGTAGATTTCGCCACATGTTCGTTAATCTGCAACAGTGCGTTACGGAACAGTTCTCGATCCTCCGTCACAGCGATCGTGGAGACAGGTGTACCAAGAACCTGGACATTGTGTTTTTTCAGGACTCCAAGTCGGTCCAATTCCAAGCCACAGTTTAACGCCGTTTGGCCTCCCCAAGCCAGCATAATCCCATCGGGTCGTTCTTTTTCAATGACACGTTCCACAGCTTCTGGAGTAACTGGCACAAAATAAATATTGTCTGCCATTTCATTGTCTGTTTGCACTGTCGCAATGTTTGGATTCACAAGCACAGTATCTATGCCTTCTTCACTCAACGCCTTGAGACACTGCGAACCACTGTAGTCAAACTCACCGGCCTGTGCAATAACAATGCCACCCGCACCCAATACAAGCACCTTTCTCGGTTGCGATTTGGAGGCTTCCTTCACTTTGGCTTTCTTCACATGTGTAATAAAGTCGCCAAAGAGATACTCAGTATCCTGTGGACCACAACGTCCCTCTGGATGAAACTGCACAGCCTCAAATGGTTTTGTACGATGACGTAAACCCTCATTGCTATCATCATTAGGGTTGTAAAAAAACTCTTCCCACTCATCCTGAGGGAGGGTCTTAAAGTCAACAGCAAACCCATGATTTTGTGTCGTAATGACGACATGACCATCGCGACGACATGTTGAAGGCTGATTTTGTCCACGGTGGCCGTACTTCATCTTGTATGTGGTGCCTCCAGCAGCAAGTGCCAAAATTTGATTTCCCATACATATACCAAAAATGGGTTTATCTTGTGTAAGAGCCCATCTAACATGTTCAATCGTTTTTGTGCACATCTGCGGGTTACCTGGACCATTGGAGATGAAAAGGCCATCGTACGTCTCCTTCGTAATGTCCCAGTCGTGTGGCACAACGACCAGGGTCACGTCATACTTTAGCAGGCATCGCAGTGAGTTGAGCTTTACACCCATATCAATAACCAGGATGACGAGAGTCCCATGCCCGTATGTACAGCGTGTCTTGGTACTGACCTCGGCCACCAAGTTGCGTGTATTGGGGTCCAAAAACGGAACGTCTGCGTTGTTGACAACAATTTTTCCCAGCGCCGTACCCATGTCACGCAATTTCAATACAATATGGCGTGTATCCACCATCATGAGACCTGGAATCTTGTTTCGCCGAAGCCACTGCCCAAGTGTCTCGTGCATCTGCCAGTGTGCCGGATCATCGCAGTACTCGGAGACCACCACCGCACTCACGTGGATTTTCCCGCCAAAACTTTCAAAATACTTCGTCACGCCAAAGTGATCGGTCTCAATGGGGGGAATGCCGTAGTTCCCGACCATTGGCGATGTTAGAACAAGGATTTGTCCCTGGAACGATGGGTCGGTGAGGGCCTCTGGGTACCCAACCATGCCGGTGGCAAAAACAACTTCGCCTGCCACGCTCTGCTCGTAACCGAACGAGTAGCCCTCGAAGCGTTCACCATCGTGCAAGACAAGCAACGCCTTTGTTTTCGGCACAGACATTTTATTCTACCCTGGCCTATTTGCAATTACTTTCTTGAAGCTACTAGAGTATGTTTTTTTGTTGATGTTTATTCCTCTCCCTTTCTCTGTAGGTGTATATGTGTTTTTTATTGTTTTTAAATTTATACGCTTTCCTCTTATCCTCCTTCGCTTGCTTGTTTGCTTTCCAGTTTGTTTCCTTGTGTAGCCTCGCCAAGGCGCGCCCCCTCCTTCCCCTGTCTACAAAAGTCGTTTGTGCTATATTGCGTGTGCCAGTACGGGTGCTAGTTTACTTACCGCTGAGCCGCGTAAGTGAACCCCTTCCGAAAAGCGTCGTTCTTTGGCGTGTGTATGTGTGTATGTAGATGGCAGAGGCCAACAAGCACTAGACGCCACACCCACAAAGAGAGAAAGAGAGAGAGAGAGAAGTGGAAGAAGAGGCAAAGAGATGCGGGCGTAGGTGGGGATGAGGGAAAGCCCCAACACGCAAAATGGACCCGTCCAGCAGAAAAAGTGGGCAGCTGGTGCAGACATTAGTGCACAGGCGTTCGTGTAAGCAGCGGGCGCAAAACGCACTCACACGCAAAGCCCAAATTTAGCGCAGACACTCTCCTTGATGGCGAAAATAAAACTGCATCACGAGCCATCAAACCAGAAAAGGCTCCGTCGGACGCACACACACACATCCACCCATTCATTCACTGGTGGTGTGCCACTTTCCTTCCGTCTTCCTCTTTTTTTTTTTTTGCTATCCCGTGTGTGCGTGTCTGTGCGTTCCTCCTGAAAAAAAAAACGTTTTCCCTTCACTTGACTGGTTGCTTTAAGTGCCTGGCACTCCCACACAAGGCACCACTTTTTTCTTTATCCTTCTCTTTTTTTTTCTTTTACTGTTAAACTTTTTTTTTCCTTCCGCCTATTGTCGTCTTCACAAGTGCCTCTTTCCGTAATTTTATTCACGCTTGCGGTCCCTCTTGCTGCCGGCCCCGAGAAATGCGCACACACGGCGGTGTTTCCACACGCACGCGCACCCAAAAATGGCAAAAAGATGGATCCCCTCCTCCCCCTCCCCCCGAGGGAGGGACAAAAATTCAGGAAAAAACAAGGAATGAGTAGAAGAAACACGTCAGCTAAACAAAGAAAAAAAAATCTAAAATAGAAAACAACAAACAAGCACCAAATAAAAAAAAAAGAAAAAAAAAGGGATACTAAAAAAACTTTGGCGAGAGTGTAAACGATCCTCCCGTATATGTATTACACATGAAGCATTTGTAATAGTTGACTCAGCTACATGCGGTAGTAACGCACGCCATAATACTCGTCGCGATTTGTCTCGCATTGTAGCAGGCATGTCACGGCCATCCCAATGAGCGCAAGGCCTGTAATGGACAGCCCAATCGGCAGCACTTCCTTCATATGTTGCTTGATGGTGCCCAGCACAACAGATTCGCATGTGTTGTTGTATTTATTAATTTGTGTTTGATCATTCTCGCTGCAGGCTGGGCAAAATACTTTATCAGTGGGGTCGGCATGAGTCATGGGCACACGCTGCTCTCCCCCCGCGATCAACGGCAGACCATCTCGTCGGGTCAGTAAGAGCGTGTCTTTCGCTTGTGAAGTGTTGCAGAGCATGCTCCAACCGGAGCAGTG